TAGGGAGGTAGGTAGGTAGGTAGGCAGGTAGGTAGGCAGGCAGGCAGGTAGGTAGGTAGACGGAAAGACAGATAGATACATAGATGAATAGTCAGATTGATGAAAGATTGGTAGATCCGACAGATGTATCGATCGGAAAACCGATAGATCGATTGGTAGATCCAGGAGGGACATGTACATCCATAGATCGATAGCTCGATAGCTCGACAGATAGACAAATGGATGAAGGGCGTTGTTTACAAGACAGCTAAATGAACGGAGAGACAGAGAGATGGAGACATGGAGGAACAGAGAGATAGACAGACAGAGAGATAAGTACATAGTCAGATAGACAGAGAGATAGACAGAAAGCTTAGCAGAAAGCTTTGCAGAAAGCTTAGCAGAAAGCTTGGCAGCAAGGTGGACAGAAAGATTGAGAGAGAGTTAGAGAGCGAGAGACACAGCGAGGCAGGTAGACATGTAGATAGATTGATTGGTTGATAGAGAGACACATAGATAGATAGATAGAAAGATAGATAGGTAGGTAGATAGATAGGTAGATAGGTAGATAGATAGGTAGATAGGTAGATTATAGACAGATTATAAATAGAAAGACAGATAGATGGATAGATGGATAGATGGATAGATGGATAGATGGATAGATGGATAGATAGATAGATAGATAGATAAATAGATAGATAAATAGATAGATAGATAGATAGCTACATAGAGAAGCAGACAGACAGACAGGCAGGCAGACAGACAGACAGACAGACAGACAGGCAGACAGACAGACAGACAGACAGACAGACCGACAGGCACGTAGATAGACAGGAGACAGGTGAGAAGAAATGACAACAGATACGATATAGTAGAAACTATATACTATATCCTAGATACTATATACTATATACTATATATACTATATACTATGAGCAAAGAACCTGGAAGTCGCCTACCTCGGCCTGCCGTAGATGAACACCAAGGGCACTCGGGCGCAGGCCGGTTAGGTCGAAGTTCCTGGGCTTCCAACATGTCTCCGCCGGCTGTTCAAGATGCCTTTATCCGGCTTAGGCCTAGGGGTCTAGGGTTTGGGCCTAAAGCTTGGGGTTTAGGATACAACCGCTACTTGGGCCAGCATGCTTCCCTCCCCCCCTCACCTTTTCATGCAATTTCGGATGCCGAGTGGAAGTGTCCGAGCTGCGGGCTTGTGACAGGACGGAGCCACTCAATGGCACTGGGTGTGACTTTAAAAAGGGTGGCGGGACCCCGGCATACACGCCACAAAAAGACCGTAAGTGCTCACAAAAGCCTGGCAAAGCTGCTTTCCTGGGATGCCTTTTGGAAGGCTCAGGACCTGAGCCCACTAAAGGGCCTTCGCACAAGGCCTTGGATTCTTTTTCAAGCTTCTTGACCTGCAGCTCTGCCTGGTGCAATGTCAACCAGAAGTCACAGCAATCCTCCAAAATGTTGCACATGCTGTCTAACTGCATGAGCGTGAGTTCCAGGTACTTCTGTGACTCTCTCTGTACTCTGGTCATTTCAAAACCGGATCGGACTTGGCACTCGAGGCTTCCATGCTCATCTTCGACAGGTTCTGGTAGAGAGCTCATCGCCGTCTGGTCCAGCGTTACTTGCGCGCACTGCCCCAGGTACTTTACTTGTTCGAGCAGATCGATGTAGTCACAGCGGACTGCCTGCAACTGCTTACGCAGACCAGCCATGCTGACATGAAGCTCGCCGACACAAGCTTGCAGCTCATGTCCTTGACCCCTTGCCGCCCAAAGCAGTGTGGGAAGCTTCTCCAGAGCACTGACAGCCGTCATGGCTAAGCTTCCTGCCACTGTCTGCGCGCACTTCACGAGCTTCACAAAAAGGCTTTCCGTGGCTAGTGCAGCACCTTTCAAGTCGTTGTCCGTCTGGGAAAGGCAGGTTGTCACCACCTGAAGGTGCCCGGCCAGGGCATCGCTAAAGACCTTCAAGTCTCTCGCGCTGCGCGTGGCTTGATAAGAGAAGGATGGATCACTCTGGAAGGAGCTGCATGAACTGGAAGAGACCAAGGAGCCCCCACCCCGGCAGTGGTGTCCCGACAGACCTGCACTGCTAACTACGGCGGACTCGCTTTGAGCTTGGGGGCCCCAGTCTCGAGGACTCGCACTACCAGAGACTTCCATAAGACCGGCACTACTCACATTGGCCGACGCTACAAACCCGGAAATCAGAACACTCTTGAGCCAAGAAGACGGCTCTTCCGCGGAAGAGAGGTACCAGGTGCAAGCCTACGATTTTCGACCCTGGAGCCCGTCAAGACCCCGAAAAGCTCTCAAGACCCCAAGCCTGGAGCGAATTGAGGGTCTTTGCAGCTCAGGGTCTTCAAGTCGCACTTTAGCGACATTCCGGGAGTGGCCCGCTTGGCCAAGATATCATCCTGAACCCAGCTTGAATTTAGAAGGCAGGGGATGGGCCTCTTGAGAATCTCGGCCGAGTGCAGCTCTAGCTTTCATGCGCTGGACCACAGACCTACGCCTCAGGCACAGCCCGAACGGCGTAACCATGCGTAGCCTCTTATGGTACCAGACACAGCCGATTGTAGCCGGTCATGACCCCAACAACATGAGTATCGTCATCGGCAACCCCGGCCATGGCCCGGAGCGCACAACGCAACACCCACAAGCCGCAAGGCCTGCAATCCTAGAATTCCTGCAAGCCTACCGTCCGCCAAAAGTCTCGAAAGTCCCAAAACCCCTGAAATCGGAAATCACAGGGCCTTCAGAGCCCCCTTGCAGGCGCCTTGAGCTTGATCAAGCGCTCGATCTTGGGATAGTCTGAATAGCGGTTCTGGTAGTCCAAATCCCGGATGAAGTTCTGCCTGAGTCTAGCCGAACCCGATCAGTTGTGCTGTTGCATCGTGCATGTCCTGGTCCTCTAAGATCTCTGCTATAAGAGAAGCCCGTTTGGGCTCAAGGGGGAAATCCGTGCCACGCTTCCGGGGCACGGACGGTCGCAGTCCAGTGTCAATGAAAGTCTGACCTGATAGCTTTCCCCTCACATCATCGCGAAGGGCTCACGAGACTGCAGAGATGAAAATGAAGGGGGACGAGCGGGACCAGAGGATGACAACGTGAAGAAAATGACAAGCATGATCGCGATTGGAACGAGGACGACGGGCAATAACGCTCACGATAGTAGTAGCAGTAGCACTAGCACTAGCACTAGCACTAGCACTAGCACTAGCACTAGCACTAGCACTAGCACTAGTACTAGTACTGGTACTGGTACTAGTACCAGTACTAGTACTAGTACTAGTACTAGTACTAGTACTAGTACCAGTAGTAGTAGTAGTAGTCGTCGTCGTCGTCGTCGTCGTCGTCGTCGTCGTCGTGATAGTAGTAGTAGTAGTA